AGCCTGGTTTCAAACCGGGTCATGGAACTGAGACAGTCATGGTCGCCTAAGTGGATGTTCTCTGCAGAGAACTTGACAGGGAGAGTGTGTCCCTGTTGGTTCTCCTGGACCTCTCAGCGGCATTCGATACCGTAGACCACGGTATCCTTCTGGGTCCCCTCGCAAGGATAGGTCTTGGAGGTACTGTTTTGCAGTGGCTCCAGTCCTTCCTGGAGGACCATACCTGGAAGGTGTTGTTGGGGAACACCTGCTTGGCTCCACAGCCTTTAACCCGTGGGGTCCCACAGGGCTCAGTATTGTCCCTCCTGTTGTTTAACATCTACATGAAGCCGTTGGGTGAGATCATCCAGAGTTTTGGAGTTTGATGCCATCTGTACGCAGATGGTGTTCAACTCTATTATTCCTTTTTACTAGATTCTAAGGAGGTTGCCCAGGTCGTGAACCATCACTGCTTGGCCTCATCCAACCAGTGATGGTCTGGATGAGGGCGAACAAATTGAAGTCGAATCCAGAAAAGACAGAGGTCCTCCTGGTCGGTCACAAGGCTGGATAGGGTATAGCCTGTGCTGGGTGGGGTTACACTCCCCTTGAAGGCGCAGGTTCGCAGCTTGGGAGTCCTCTTGGACTCATTGCTGAACCTGGAACCTCAGGTTGCTGTGGTGGCTACGGGGCTTTTGCACATGAGCATACCACTTCCCTAACAATCTTTTCCATACTCTTGCCTGATATCGACGTGAGGCTAACCGGACGGTAATTGTTTGGGTCATCTTTTTCCCCCTTCTTGAAGATTGGGAGCACATTGGCCCTCATCCAAAATGCTGGAACTTTTCCCGTTCTCCAAGAACTCTCAAAGATGATTGCCAATGGTTCCGAGATGACTTCTGCTAGTTCTTTCAATACCCTTGAGTGTAGTTGATCTGGCCTTGGGGACTTGAACTCGCCACAGAATAAAACTCCTTGCAGGGTATATTGCTCAACAAGTCTTCTGGAGGGGTGGATCAGCTAGTCTTTGTTGAGCAATATACCCTGCAAGGAGTTTTATTCTGTGGCGAGTATAGGGCTCTTGTGAGTCGAAACCGGTTGCAGGTTGGAGTCAATTCATGTGACTACTGGAGTCTACTCATATGTAATAAAGAACAGGACATTTACTCACACGAAGACTTTGTTTTATACTTCAAGAGAAGAACCAGTTGTTTCTACTTAATGTGAATGTGGTAGTCCTGTTTTTTTGATATGTGTATTTGTAATATATACATTGAGTTAATTTAGTTATTTTCACATTACCACAATCAGTGGATTTCGGTCTCCACAGTGTTAGGGGAACCCATTTTTCTTCTCTGGCACTACTCTTGAAAAACTCCCATCCATTTGCATTCTGTGTCCACGGAATGCTGCTCAGCGTTTCCTTCATTTTTCGGAAATCAGCTCTCCTAAAGTCCAAAATGCGTGTTTGACTTGTCTTAGTTTCGGCCTTCCTTTGTACCTAAAATTACAGGAGCACATGGTTGCTTGCCCCTAAGGATCCGACCACTTCAATCGCATCGATCAGGTCCTCCACATTTGTTAGGATGAGATCAAGAGTAGCCAATCCCCTTGTTGCCTCTTCTACCTTCTGGACCATGAAATTGTCTGCAAGGCAAGAGAGGAATTTGTTGGACTTCATACTCTTGGCCGAGTTTGTTTTCCAGCAAATATCGAGATAGTTGAAATCGTCCATGACTACTACATCTCTTCTTTGTGCCTGTTTGGTCAACTGTTGGCAGAAGACTTCATCAAGTTCTTCCTCCTGGCTTGGAGGTCTGTAGTAGACGCCTACAACTAGATCTTTTTGAGTCCCAGTTCCCTTGATTCTTATCCAGATGCTTTCAACCTGTCCTTCAGAAAGGTGGTAGAGACCTGGCTGTGGGACCAAGCCTTTGAATAGTGTAATAACAGGAAACCATCTGGTATGGCTGGCTTGAGGTTGTTTCAACAATTTGATTTTGAAGTAAATACAACTGATTTTAATGTTTTTTTATATTTATAGTTTGTTTTATTCTAGCATTGAATGTTTGCCGTGTATATGTTGTGCTCCACCCTGAGTCCCCTTTGGCATGAGAAGGGCAGAATATAAATGTTTTAAATTAATAAATAAGCAATGCATAGAGATGATTTTGCCAGTTCCTTCCTCTGTAATACAGCTCACACCACTTGTTATTTATTTGTGGTTTCCTATCCAAGTACTAGTAGGGGCTGAACCTGCGTAATTTCCAAGATCAATAGGATTTGGTCCCTTTAGGGTATTTAGGTCCTCCACAGAACAATAGCACACTACTAAACTAATTTTGCATTGTAGATGATGACTGAACATGGACGTTTTTTTCTGTTCTCCTCTCAAGATTCTTTCTGAGACATAAATAACTTTTATTTTGTTTTGGAATATTGAAACAGGATATAGTATCATGATCTAACTCTTGAACATTTAGAAATGTGGTTTCTGTGTGTGTTTTAAATCTTTGGAAAAAGAGAATTGAAGAAACAGTAAGAGAGAAACAAACATTATACACTTTTTCAAAATGCACAAGTACTATATGCATCTCAGAACCAAATTAAAGGTTTATCATAGCAGTAAATTTATACTCGGTCACAATGTCCTCTTCCGTTAAGACACACAAGAACAGAAGTGTCTGCTTCGGTAAATTTGTTATCAATTAAAGTTAACTCCTTTGTTTTAGAGCCCAAAGTGTTAAGTGGGACATCAAATGTGTAGTAAAACACATTGGTTTATGTCAACAACTTTCTTTTGCTCAGTGATTGAAGTCTTTGATGAAGTTCAACAGTGACAAATGCAAGACACTCCAATTAGGCAGAAAAAACTAAATGCAAAGACAGAATGAGGGACAATGCCTTGCTCGAGAGCTGTACGTGTGAAAAAGATCGTGGACAACAAGTTAAACATAAGCCAACAATGTGATGTGGCAGCAAAAAAAGCCAATAGGATTTTGGCCTGCATCAATAGGAGCATAGTGTCTAGATCTAGGGAAGTCATGCTACCCCTCTACTCTGCGTTGGTTAGACCACACATGGAATATTGTGTCCAATTCTGGGCACCACAATTCAAGAGAGATATTGACAAGCTCAGATATGCAGATGACACCACTCTGATGGCCGAAAGCGAGGAGGAGCTGAGGAGCCTTCTAATCAAGGTGAAAGAAGAAAGCGCAAAAGCTGGGTTGCAGCTAAACATAAAAAAACCAAGATTATGGCAACAAGAATGATTGACAACTGGGAAATAGAGGGAGAAAATGTGGAGGTCGTGACAGACTTTGTATTTCTAGGCGCAAAGATTACTGCAGATGCAGACTGTGGCCAGGAAATCAGAAGACGCTTACTTCTTGGGAGGAGAGCAATGTCCAGTCTCGATAAAATAATAAAGAGTAGAGACATCACACTGGCAACAAAGATCCGCCTAGTCAAAGCCATGGTATTCCCTGTAGTAACCTACGGATGTGAGAGCTGGACCTTAGGGAAGGCTGAGCGAAGGAAGATCGATGCTTTTGAGCTGTGGTGCTGGAGGAAAGTGCTGAGAGTGCCTTGGACTGCGAGAAGATCCAACCAGTCCATCCTCCAGGAAATAAAGCCCGACTGCTCACTGGAGGGAAGGATACTAGAGACAAAGTTGAAGTACTTTGGCCACATCATGAGGAGACAGCAAAGCCTAGAGAAGACAATTATGCTGGGGAAAGTGGAAGGGAAAAGGAAGAGGGGCCGACCAAGGGCAAGATGGATGGATGGCATCCTTGAAGTGACTGGACTGACCTTGAAGGAGCTGGGGGTGGTGACGGCCGACAGGGAGCTCTGGCGTGGGCTGGTCCATGAGGTCACGAAGAGTCGGAGACGACTGAACGAATGAACAACAACATTGACAAGCTGGAATGTGTCCAGAGGAGGGCGACTAAAATGATCAAGGGTCTGGAGAACAAGCCCTATGAGGAGAGGCTTAAGGAGCTGGGCATGTTTAGCCTGAAGAAGAGAAGGTTGAGAGGAGATATGATAGCCATGTATAAATATGTGAAAGGAAGCCACAGGGAGGGGGGGAGCAAGCTTGTTTTCTGCTTCCCTGGAGACTAGGACGCGGAACAAGAAAGGAGATTCCATCTGAACATGAGGAAGAACTTCCTGACTGTGAGAGCCGTTCAGCAGTGGAACTCTCTGCCCCAGAGTGTGGTGGAGGCTCCTTCTTTGGAAGCTTTTAAACAGAGGCTGGATGGCCATCTGTCAGGGTGATTTGAATGCAATATTCCTGCTTCTTGGCAGGGGGTTGAACTGGATGGCCCATGAGGTCTCTTCCAACTCTTTGATTCTATGATTCTATAATTCTGTGGCACACCAGATTTGCTACAACTCTTAGTCTGACTTTTAAAAAACTTCTGAGCTCATTTGGGGTTAAAATTTAGGATCTTGAATGACTTTTTTTGCTTCTTTGAAATGGAAATGAATTGTTCCCATTGTTGATAGGGCCAATTCTGTTTAATTGCATTCATTGGAGATCTGATCCTTCTCCTTAAGGAGCAAGATTTATAGCTTAAAGATTTCCTTTCAAAATCCTTTACAATCAATTATATACAATTCATTGCTTCTATGCAGAATTCACCAAATCAATAAGGATTTACTGAGATAATCCTGGTGTAAATTTTACTGATTCAATAAGTCTACTCTAATTGAATTTAATCACTGGGTTTGCATCCCAGAGTATCCATGAATTATCTGCATGAATCTTGTAACTTATATCCTGGTCCAGCTTCAGAACCCACATCCATTTGTTACATGCCAAGCCTTTAGTAACTAAAATAGCTCTGCATTGTTGGGTGTGCTTATTAGAATGAAATGGCACTGTTTGGTGTATATTTCTGAATTAAGCCATTTTTTGCAAGCAAAGTTAGAAGCATGTTTATAAATCAGGCACCTCATAATAAAGCCATAAAAGTGTAAAGCAGCCAAAAGGAGTGATAAGTACAAACCTCTCTTCTCTTGCTTGTCTTAGCTCTTCTCTCTTGCCTAGATAATTACGACTATAAAACAGAGGTGCATAATGTTACAGGGGAAAAGAAAAGCCACAAGCCCCCCTCCCCCCAAATAACTAAAGTACACTGGTTAAAATTAAAGGATATTCATTAATATATAACAAATATGGTAATGTGTAAATTTTGAGATGTCATACTGCCAAATCCAGCTTGTTAGTACCAGACTGAGGACTGATCTGTTTCCATACAAGAGAATGGCTTGGTACACTCAATGATCCTTTTAAAAGATCACATTAATCATTGTATGTGAAGGGATGTGATTAAATGAATCCACTTCCAAATGCCCAATCATCTATGCAATGGTCAATTGATACTTAGAATCTATCACTTAAAAGTTTAACTGGTTCTGGATTATCAACTCTAAATGAAAAATTGGACTTACAATATTATTGTGGGTTAGACTAAAGGTTAAACACGCAAAGTGCATCCAAATTTACCTTTTTTTCATTTACAAAGGAAAAAAGTGTGAATCTCCAAATCTGTACACACATACTGACAGCACCATTTAAACCTCACACATCATCCCTTGGATTTCCATTCTTTATCAATCTCCTCCTCAGGGTTAAGAAAAGGCTTCTCCCCCTTTAGATGTGTATGTATATATTGTAGGGGTTAAAGAGTGAGGAAAGTGAGATGGGAAAGGTTTCGGACTCAAAATGTGGTTGTCCTGATCACAGCCTGATCAGTTTTGTTCTTAAACAAAACAGGAAAAGGAAGAAAAGCATATTAATTTAAGGTAAGGCAAAAGGTAAAATGTTTGCTCACTGTTCCAAAAATGCATTCAAGATAAAACTAAAACTTTAAATATTTACTTTATTTATTTATTTATCTTATTTATTTATTACCTTATTTATTACTACAGAAGCCTTTTGATGAGATATATGAAACCCTACTGTTGGAGAATAAATTATTTTGTTATCTGGAAACAGAGACTGTTCTGTCTTCCCCACTTGTCCTATGGATACACAACAGCTAAGGCCATTTAGTTATGCCTTTTGTATCTGTTTGCTCACTGTATCTGTGTGCTAAGGATATATGGCTCAATAAAAATAAAATTTGATTTGTTTTGAAAGCAGCTGACAGGGGGGCTCCTGGATGCAGGTTTGCCCCTTGTGTCACTGATATGTCTTGGATATCTGCCCAATATGTTCCAGATGTTCCAGAACAGCTTCCATCATTGGTATAATTTTCATGTTTTTCCCCCCAGGTGCTTGAAGAAAGCTGGAAGATGCTGTGACTTGGGGGAGCTCCTGACTTGCCATCTTAGTCAAGGATAATTGTCCATGGAGGTATTGTGCCTGACCTTCTTCAATGTCCCTAAAAGTATTACACTGCTACTATAACAAGGAATTGTGCCAGGGCATGTCATCAAGGAACTGTAACCAATATATGCAGGTATGCTGGTGGCCATCAGAAATGGAATTCCATGGATAAGCGTCCATCAACAAAATACTGGTTGAGCGTCCACCAACAAAATGCTGATTGATTTCCTTGAAGAAGTTGGAGGTAACCCAAACATAGGAATCAGCGCGAACTGACTTAAAAATCTAAAGTGTGGACATAATACTCAAGTTCACTCGGCTAACAATAGATTTGCCCCAACCCCTCACCCCCGCCTGGACATTCAAAAGTGTTCCTGCATTATTTCAATACAAAAATTTGGGAGTTATCTTGTAAAACAGGTGGTGGGAAGCAGCTTGTCTGCTCATGATTTACAGGAATTCTTATAAAACATATACATGTAAGTGATCAAGTAGAAGTTTTCTAATAGTCAATATGATCCAAAGGCACCTTAGAGAATTGAAAGTGGGTTGAAAACTGCAAGAAAGAGCATTGCTTCACATTCCACTCTGGATACTCTGAAATGGATGTATTGTATAACAATTGTATAAAATACCTTAAGCTGGTACAAAGATGATGAGAAATCATTATTTCTATTTTTTTTAAAAGTGCAAATGCAGGCACTTATGGAGATAACAGATCAGAGACAAGGAATCCTGGAGGAAGTGGACGACTACATAACACCTCTATGGGATAGATGACACAAAGAGGAGGGACATTTATCCTGATACTATTGGGTCTTTCTGAAATTCCCCTGGAATGCTGCACAAAAGCTCTTTGGTTGGGCATCAATTTCACTGCCAGGAACGGATTCACAGTATGTTTTAGAAAGCATCAATGTCCTAGAAAAAGGAAAAACAAGGAGGCGATAGGGCCTCTTCGAGGAGAAGATGGGGCAATGCTGACAGGGGGTAGGGAAAAGGCAGAACTACTTAATGCCTTCTTTGCCTCGGTCTTCTCACAAAAAGAAAGTCATCTTCAACCTGAGTAAGATGGAGTGAATGAGGGATTAGAGGACATCCAACCCCAAATTGGGAAACAAGTCGTCCAGGAATACCTGGCCGCTCTAACTGAGTTCAAGTCTCCAGGGCCAGATCAACTACACCCAAGAGTACTGAAGGAACTAGCGGAAGTCATTTCGGAACCATTGGCAATCATCTTTGAGAGTTCTTGGAGAACGGGAGAAGTTCCAGCAGACTGGAGGAGGGCCAATGTGGTCCCAATCTTCAAGAAGGGAAAAAAGGATGATCCAAACAATTACTGTCCGGTCAGCCTCATGCCGATACCAGCCAGGATTCTGGAAAAGATTGTTAAGGAAGTGGTCTGCAAACACTTAGAAACAAATGCGGTCATCGCTAATAGTCAACATGGATTTATCAAAAACAAGTCATGCCAGACTAATCTGATCTCTTTTTTCGATAGAGTTACAAGCTGGATAGATGCGGGGAATGCCGTGGATTTCAGTAAGGCCTTCGACGGGGTCCCCCATGACCTTCTGGCAAGGAAACTGGTCCAGTGTGGGCTAGGCAAGGCTACGGTGAGGTGGATCAGTAATTGGTTGAATGGACGAACCCAGAGGGTGCTCACCAATGCTTCCTCTTCATCCTGGAAAGAAGTGACAAGTATAGTGCTGCAGGGTTTCATCCTGGGCCCGGTCCTGTTCAACATCTTTATTAATGACTTAGATGAAGGGCTAGAAGGCATGATCATCAAGTTTGCAGATGACACCAAATTGGGAGGGATAGCCAATACTCCAGAGGACAGGAGCAGAATTCAAAACGATCTTGACAGATTAGAGAGATGGGCCAAAATAACAAAATGAAGTTCAACAGTGACAAATGCAAGATACTCCACTTAGGCAGGAAAACTGAAATGCAAAGATATAGAATGGGGGATGCCTGGCTCGAGAGCAGTATGTGTGAAAAAGATCTTGGAGTCCTCAGTGGACAACAAGTTAAACATGAGCCAACAATGTGATGTGGCGGCAAAAAAAGCCAATGGGATTTTGGCCTGCATCAATAGGAGCATAGTGTCTAGATCTAGGGAAGTAATGCTACCCCTCTATTCTGCTTTGGTTAGACCACACCTGGAATATTGTGTCCAATTCTGGGCACCACAATTCAAGAGAGATATTGACAAGCTGGAATGTGTCCAGAGGAGGGCGACTAAAATGATAAAGGGTCTGGAGAACAAGCCCTATGAGGAGCGGCTTAGGGAACTGGGCATGTTTAGCCTGAAGAAGAGAAGGCTGAGAGGAGATATGATAGCCATGTATAAATATGTGAGAGGAAGCCACAGGGAGGAGGGAGCAATCTTGTTTTCTGCTTCCTTGGAGACTAGGACGCAGGAACAATGGCTTCAAACTACAAGAGAGGAGATTCCATCTGAACATTAGGAAGAACTTCCTGACTGTGAGAGCCGTTCAGCAGTGGAACTCTCTGCCCCGGAGTGTGGTGGAGGCTTTCTTTGGAAGCTTTTAAACAGAGGCTGGATGGCCATCTGTCAGGGGTGATTTGAATGCAATATTCCTTGCTTCTTGGCAGGGGGTTGGACTGGATGGCCCATGAGGTCTCTTCCAACTCTTTGATTCTATGATTCTATGATTCTAACAACATGACGGAACCAGCATTACAAAGTAAATGTCATGTTTCAATGTAATACATCTTTTCCATGACAATAAACCATGAAATAACATTTGTCTTACTTAAATTTGTTTCTTTCTTCACGCTCTATCCTTTGCAGCCTCTCTTCTCTCTCTTGTCGTCGCCTCTCTCTTTCTGCTGCCAAGGATTCTTGGTGCTGTCGATAGGATGATGTAAGGAGACCACCCAAGGATGACCTAAAAAGAAAGGAAAAATGTATCACTCAATATTTCAATGAAATATTTGTCATGTCTATTTTCCCCTACTTTATTACCATTTATTAATTCAGTAATACGGTCTGCTAATCATGCATACAGTATCTCCTACTCTCAGTAGCCAATCCACTACTGAACAGGGATTTGCCCCTTTTCATTTGTGACTTTTGATTATCTGAGATTGAAAAGTGAACCAACATGTCAATGTCATTTATACATATTTTAATTATCATAATCATAATAATACAGCTTTATTTTTAGATCTCCCCAGAAGGATTCAGGGTGGTTTACACATACAGGCAAATATTCAATGCCTGACATATACCAGAACATAACAGAACTAGAACATAATACAAAATAATAACAGCATTCTACTTATCAAATAAAATTAAATATCAAAATAAAGACATACACCAGCTAATCAATAAGCAAGTATATTTAAAAGCATAGTCACCAGTAAGACATCTGACATAGTTAGCACAATTAAAAATTGGTGAAGCATTGGCTGTTATAGTTGTTCTTAAATATGCCATTATGGACACGTAGTACAGATAGGACAGCCTGCTTTTCAATGGCGTTGCTAAAGTACCCTAATCCTAAAGTACCCTAATCCTAAAGTCCCCTAAGTACCTCGCAGATATGGGACTTGGAGGTACTGTTTTGCAGTGGCCTCTTTCCTTGAGGAGCTTTTGCACAATTAAAACTTGTGCACCAATTGTGCCCATACCTTGGGAAGTCAGACTTGGCCACGGTGGTCCACACTCTTGTTACATCCCGACTAGATTACTGAATGCACTCTATGTGGGGTTGCCTTTGACGTCTACTCAGGAGCTCCAACTAGTCCAATGGACAGCAGCCAGATTGCTCACCAGAGTGGCATAAAGAGAGCATACAACCCCCTATGCTACACCAGCTCCACTGTTTGCCAATCTGCTACCGAGCACAATTCAAAGTGCTGGCTTCAGCCTATAAAACTCTGAACAGTTCTGGCCCAGCTTACCTATCTGAACATATTTCCTGCTATGAACCACTGCAAAGTCTAACATCAACAGGAGAGGCCCTGCTCTTGGTCCCACCATCCTCGCAAGCACGACTGGTGGAGATGAGAGACAGGATTTCTCAGTAGTGGCGCCCGTGGAACTCTACCCAGTGACATTAGATTGGCCCCCTCCCTCTTGTCCTTTAGAATGAAACTGAAAACCTGGTTATGGGGCCAAGCGTTTGAACAGTAGAGGAAGCAATTTAGAATGAGACACAGTTTGTGTGAATGATAATAGACTGACCTGGACTATGATTTCAGACCTGCGTGATTTAAACAATGTTTTAGTAATTTGAAAGCATTAACCAATTTTTAAATTGCTTTTATTATTTATTAGTGTTGTTGGCATTGAATGAAGCCCTGTTGTGAAGCCGCCCTGAGTCCTCCTCCGGGGGTGAGAAGGACGAGATATAAATATGTGAAATAAATAAATAAATAATCCTCCTCCCCATATGCCAAAGTGCAGTGGAGCATTTTTAGTAGCTTTTGAAAGAGAGGAGTGTGGAGGACATTTTTATCTCTTTCACAAGGGAGTTCCAGAGACGAGCAGCAATCATAGAGAAGGCCCCTTCTCTCATTCCCACCAGTTGCACTTGAGATGGGGGTGGGACAAAGAGGAGCTCCTCTTCTGCAAACCACAGTGACCGGGAAGGTCTGTATAAGGAGATGCAATTTCACAAGTAGCCTGGACCTGAGCCATTTATGGCTTTATAAGTAACGAACAGCACTTTGTATTTAGCTCCAAAGCAGACCGGCAGCCAGTGGGGCTGTTGCAACATGGGAGTGGTCCTTTCACGATATAGCATTCCAGTTAGCAACCTAGTTACCAATGTCTGGACTAATTGTAGCTTCCGAACTATCCTCAAAGGCAGACCCACATAGAGAGCATTGCAGTAGTCCAAATGGGACGTGACTAAGGCATAAACTACCATGGCCAAGCCAGGCGTCTCGAGATACAGGTGCAGAAGTTTTAATTGTGCGAAGGTGCTCCTGGCTGCCACCGACACCTGGAGTTCCAGGGTCAATGATGAATCCAGGATCACCCCCAAGCTGCGAACCTGTGCCTTCAGAGGGAGTGTAACGCCATCCAGCACATGCTGTAACCCTATACAGTTTCCAATCTATAGAATTTGGCTAGATAATAGCCAATAGGATGGTTCATTTTTGTAGATTTTATTGTATTAACTTAATGTTTTAAACTATTTATAATTATTGGTTTTGATATGTATTTTATTGTGTTTATTTGTAGGCATCAAATATATGCCGGCTGGAAGCCGCCCTGAGTCCCCCCCAGGGGGTTGAGAAGGGTGGGGTACAAATATCCGAAATAAATAAATAAATAAATAAATACCGTTCTATACCCTGCGACTGAGCAGAAGTACCTCTGTCTTGTCTGAATTTAATTTCAGCTTATTTGCTCTCATCCAGTCCATAACAGATGACAGACACCGGAACAGGACCAGGACAACATCCTTTGCTTTTGGTGGAAATGCGTAATAGAATTGGGTGTCATCTGTGTAAATTTGACACCATACTCCAAAATTCTGGATGATCTCTCCCAGCGGATTCATGTAAATATTAAATAGCATGGGGGATAAGTTGGAACCCTGAGGGACCCCACAGGCCAGGGAGTCGAACAGGAGTTCCCCATCTCTGCTATCTAGGTCTGTCCCTCTAGGAAGGACTGGAACTACCAGAGAGGAGACCCAGAAGGATATCATGGTCAAAAGCTGCTGAGATATCCAGGAGAACCAACAGGGACACACTCCCCCGTCTAGTTCTCTAAGGAGATCATCGAACAAGATGGATGAGTTCCCACAGAAGTTGAGGAAGCAAGAAACCATCTTCTTCCCCTGCTTCAGGAAAGCCTTGTCTCAGAGTGCATTAGGAATCTGAGTGAGTGTTTAAGATTAGCTACTCTGAGTGTTTGTTTTGTTTTGTTTGAGAGGCAAGACTAAATTCTTTAGCCAGAAGTGGGCAGCAATTAATGACTCATTGTTCCCTGTTTTTTGAAGCTCTCTGGGAGTAAGTGGTTGCGTCCTGTTTGACCTATATAAACTCAGACCCTCACTAACCTACACCTTTATCCCTGCATACAGAAAACAACATAAAACAAATACACTAAAGCAGTCTGCAGATGGAAGAAACACAAAATATTTTTGTCTCATACACAAAATGTGGCATGTTCAGCTTCTTCACACAACAATTACTCAATTGCATCTGCCCCAAGTGTAAACAGATGACTCACATGGAACAGAGGATCCAATTACTCGAGGACCGTATTAAGACCCTTAAGGACATTCAGAAACTCGAGCTGTTCTTGGACACCACACGGCACATTGTCCCAACAAGCAACCTATATCACACCAACATTATGGGGAGGCCCATAAGGAGATTACCTCAGATATGAACAACCCTCAGGCTTGGAGGAATGTCACCCTTAGAAAGAGACATAGGACCAGGAAGCCTCCCCAGAATACTTCTGCTCACTGCAGTTACACAATAGAGTCCACATTCTCACACAACTAACAACTGACCAGGAACAACTGACTCACTGCAGTTACACAATAGAGTCCAAATTCTCACACAACTAACAACTGACCAGGAAACGTAACATCTTGGGGAAGACCGGAATGGCTTAGATACTGATCAGTGGCTCGTCCTTGATCAATGTATGGGGAATAGCCCTGACTGGGACAACACTTCACAACATTCACACTTACACGATCAATGTTCCATCCCCAATCATAGACCAAGTGCACACTCAGGAGAATTATAGGCTCTTGGATGAATCTCAATGGATTGTCCTTGACGAATGCACCGGGGATGCCGAGGGGGAGGACAACACTTTACACCTACACAATTCACATCAACAGGATCACTTTTCTGGGGACCTACACACTACATTGCAAAAAAGGGACCCTGTCAATACTCAAAGTAAGCAGGTCTTGGTAGTAGGTGACTCCCTCCTTAGAGGAACGGAAGCCGTCATTTCCAGACCAGATGGGATGGCTCGAGAAATATGCTGCCTCCCGGGAGCAAAAATATACCATATCACTCAGAGACTCACCAGGCTCCTCAAGCCCCATCACTATCCCCTTCTCATGTTGATTCATGTAGGAACCAATGATACTGCTAGACATACTTTTTGAAAAAGACCGTAAATTATTTTCGAGCTCTCGGAACAAAGCTAAAACAATCTAATGTACAGGTGGTCTTTTCGTCCCTCCTCCCAGTTATTATTATTATTATTAAACTTTATTTCTACCCCGCTAGCATCTCCCGAAGAACTCGATGCGGCTTAAAAAGGCCAAGGCCTCAACACAACAACAGCAAACAATAACAATACAATACAAAGCAAATTAAAAACATAAGCAATAACAAAACATTACACCATTACGCAATAAAAACCAGGGCCGGGCCAGTGATGGGTACAGGTTAAAAAGTGCTGGGTGTGACAGGTGGTATGTTGGGATTCTGGGCAAGTGCAATGTGCAGAGAGTCATTAAATTCTGATAAAGTGCTTCTGGGACATAGTGGTGGGAGTCATCCTATTCTGGAAAGGCACATCGGAATAGCCAAGTCTTCAAACTCTTCCTAAAGACTGCCAATGTGGGTACTAGTCTAATGTCTTTGGGGAGGGTGTTCCAAAGTCGGGGGGCAACCACAGAGAAGGCCCTGTCCCTCGTCCCCACCAAACGCGCCTGCGACGCAGGTGGGATTGCGAGCAGGGCCTCTCCGGATGAATGAAAGGAGCGCATTGGTTCATAAACGGAGATGCGGACACGCAGGTAGGCAGGTCCCAAACCATTTAGGGCTTTGTAGGTAAGCACCTGCACCTTGAATTGGGTACAGTAGGTAAACGGCAGCCAATGGAGCTCCTTAAACAGGAGGGTTGACCTCTCTCTGTACAGAGCGCCCGTTAACATCCTGGCTGCCGCCC